AACATAATAAGCTATCGACCAATAGTAAGATTGGAAATACTATCAGTTAGTATTTTGCTTTCCTTGGTGTCACAGAAGAGCCAGCCCATACTATGTGTGATAGTTGAAAATATTAGCCAGGCTTAGAGCTGAACCAACCACTATAGCCTTGTGATTGTCAAAGTTTTTGTATACCATGGAATATGTTTACGTTACATACTGTAACTTACCAATTATGATTACCAATTATTGATGTTGGAGAATCTGAGTCATTACACCAAACAACGGGACGCTGCGGTACCACCTGTCGCATTACTTTACCATGTTCGAGATCGTTACTCTGTCGTATTTCAAACACGCCTGATTGGTCAGCAAAATAGTCAGCCTCGCTGAACTCAGCATATTCTGAATAACAATGATTTAAAAGTGACAATAATTTATTAATTGACACCCTGAATTATGCTTGCCTCAACTTTGACCTCATTTAGTTTCATCCTATTTTTATGTGAACAATCATCTACTTTAGAAAAAACAACTAAGGTCTACGAACCAACAATTTATGTTCACCACATTTTAACACTAATAGCAATTTTTTATATGGCAGTGTATTCATTACAATGTTTAGTATTTAAAAAAAAATATTCACATATTAGAGTACTTATTATTATTATATATTATTATTTCTATTCTTTCAACATATCAACTGGTAAAAACTCCCACAGATAAATAAACAGGAAAAAAACATAAGGCTATTGGCAAAGAGCATGACATATTGCCCTCTTGTGGTGACAAACAAGAAATCTTTTGTTCATTTCAAGGTTAAACAGGCTTCATATACTCATCATTGTTTGCTAGGTTGATTTTTGTTGATTTCCAGATTTAGTGAAATACATTAAACGTAAATTATCAATATGTAGCTAATTTGAGTCACAACCAATGAAAATACTACAGGACAAAATAAAAATGCCAAGGTCATACTTAGTAGTTGAATACAGGGGCATTACCTTCTTGTGACATCTGTTATTTTATGGTTGATGCCTGTGTTCTACAAACAATTGCCAAAATTAAAGAGAAAAAATTTGTAGTTGGAAAAACTCAACGACATGAATACTTACTTTCAAAATCATCTGAATATGGTAATGGGAATGGTTCAGATGCAGGCGAGTTAGGATATTGACCTTTGTGTCCGACTGATAGTGTTGTTAGTGTGTATAATTCATCCACGCCAAGTAACAATGAAAATGTGCCATTTACAACCTAGTCGTGATTAATAGATTCATTAAATTGTAACAGAAGGCAAAACACAAATGTAGAAATGTTAAATTTATAGAAAACTATTATTCTGATAAGGTATGCCACATGCTTGAAATTGTAAATAATAAGGTAAGTAAGTAACTGGGAAGAATGCTTATTTATAGATATGGACTGGAATATTATAATTGCAGGGATGTCAGGTATGGAATAGAGGGGACTGTTGGGCCAGAATCTTACCTTAATGGGAGTTTGCTTTTCAAAGAATTTAGATGGATCTCCATTGAATCCTAATTTGGTATACCAGACGAACAGCTCTGTAATACCAGCCTACAAATTAAAAAAGGTTTATCGAGAAAAAAAAATATATTCTGAAAGCTTACTTTTAATTCATACACATTACAAGGAATAGGGATGCACAATCTATGCATAGATGATTTTGAAGGTTTTTGTCATATGTTTTTTTTGTCTGAATTCATAATTTTCTGCCATTTTATCATCCTTCGTATAAAATGTCTAAAACATTAAAGCGCGGTGGTCGTCTCGCAGCACATGTTCAAATTTCATGTAAATAAACAATGTATTTTACATGCGTTGTATACTTCACTATGAGTCCCATATTAATATTCAATATTTGAACAGCTAGTTTCTGCAGGTATACATTGTATGAAGAACTCCTTGAAATGTACAGTCACTTTGTACAAATTTGGGTAAACATGTGGAGTATCAGAACATGTAATTAGCAATAAACAGTTCCACATTTTTAAAAAAGCCTAATTCTTGAAGTATCAGATTATAATTTAGCAATAAACTTTTTGAAAAAAAAAAAAACATTTTTAATCATTATTTTGATATCTGACCTTTAATCAAAAAGGTGCTGATGGCAATTTAATGAAGATTGATCAAAATCCCAGAAAAACATCAGTGGTATAATGCGATGAGAACAGTAGTGCATATTGCAACCGTATGTTAACATAAATTGGATGCATGACGTGCAAACAGACATTGCATGAAGAAACCCAAGGTCATTACTTAGTTAATACCGATAGTTATTCTGAAAAACAGGACAGTGTCATTTTAGACGCGGATCATACATCTGCTGCAAAAATGATTTGATTGTAAACTAGAACTTGAATTTTTCTTTGTTATAGTGGTATATCTTCAATATGGGAATATGTTGTTGAGATACTCTTACTTCAACAAAATTGGCAATCATTAAATGTTAATACACATCATTCAGCGTGGAAATACATAAAAATTAATTTTGTGTTTGTTGAATCCCATATGATGTTATGATCGACTCTTGTTTGTCCTGTTTTTATGTTTTATGATCCCATATGTACTGTACACACATAACGCTGAATCTCGCAGTGAACAGACATTGTTTTTTTTTTGCAAGACATATATTTCTATATAAGACATAACATATATTTCTCAACAAGGTATTTCTATGATATGTTTTGACATTTCATGAACATGGTGATATAACCTCATTTAATTGTTTTACGCTTTTAAACCTTTCTCACTTGAAATAGATTTCTAAATTTAAGTTGTATTATCGTGTTTTGGTTAAACACAAATAAATATCATGATTATTTTGGTATGGATATAAAATATTAATTAATTATAAATATAAATAGGGCTTCAGAGAGACACAGCTATACCCTTAAGTAATTTATGGAAGAACCCACAGAGCAAAAATCATAGTTTGCAGTGCCTGTAATTTATCTTTTCGGCTATGAATATATGAACCAATCAAAACAAGGGTCCTAC